TTTTTTGGAGACGAAATCTCACTCTTTTGCCCAAGCTGGAGTACAGGGGCTCGATCTTGGATACTGCAACCTCCACCTCCCAGGTTCAAGCAATTCTCCTGCCTCAACCAACCCCCCGAGTAGCTGGGATTACAGGCATATGCCACCATGCCCAGCTAATTTTTGTATTTTTAGTAGAGATGGGGTTTCACTATATTGGCCAGGCTGGTCTTGAACTCCTGACCTTTTGATCCACCTGCCTAGGACTCTGAAAGTTCTGAGATTACAGGTATAAGCCACCACACCTGGTTGCCACCATTTTCTTACAGAAAAAAATGAAGATAAATGGCTCTCTCCTAGGTGGTTGTAAGAGACTTAGGTGAAACAGCATATGTGAAGCCCCCAGCATGACATATGGTATCTGGTTTGTGCTTAGTAGACAGGAGATGCCAGTACCATCATCATCATCATCATCATCATGCTTATTCAGAACACAATTACACTCTGCAGAGAAGTTCTTCTACTCAGAATCCAAACACTCTACGTGGCAAAATTTTCTGGCTTGCTAAAGTTATTAAGTTACTGATTTTATTGAGGATTGAGGGAAGTGAGCACATGTGTTAGAAAAAGATGGGCCATCTTATATAACACTGGAAGCAACCCAGTTGCCAAACAGCAGGGGATCAGTAATTAAATCATTATATGTGTGTGCAACAGAATACCCTGCAGTGGTCCATTAAGCTATGCAAAGCCATTAAAAGTGTAGAATTGTATTTCTTGATAAAGAAGGTTTACTATGTGCTATTAAGTGTTTTTAAAAAAGCAAGTTGGAAAAGGGAAATACAGTTCATACTTAATTTTCTTTTTATTTTATTTTATTTTACTTTACTTTAAGTTCTGGGGTACATGTGCCATGTCTTGCAGGATTGTTACATAGGTATACACATGCCATGGTGGTTTGCTGCCTCCATCCCCGCTGTCACCTACATTCGGTATTTCTCCTAATGTTATCTCTCCCCAGTCCCCCCACCCCCTGCTATCCCTCCCCTGGCCCCCCACCCATACTCAATTTTCATAAGAAAAAATATGTGCTTGTTTAATTCACATGCATAGAAGTAAATCGGGGGAGTCCATATGCCAAATATTAACGGTGTTTATCCCCAAGTGACAATGCGATGGGTGATGATTGTTTTCTGCTTTATTTGTGCTCTGATTTTTCTGTAATGATACATTAAAAGCTATCGTGCTACAAAAGAAAGAAAAAAGAGAAACCCACCAAAATCTTTGCCTTAGAGATGAAGATTGGATCTCTCTGTTTCACATTAGATGAGTCAGTAACACTACATTTGCTCTCTGGCTTAGGGGCAAGAATCTGATCTTGTCCTTTACTAAAATACTTGAAGAACCAAGCTGAACTTTCCCACATCAAGGTAGCTCCACTGCCATTAGCATCCTCATCCCAGTGTGTTCATTCCCTCCAGGTGCATCAGGGAAGGTTTTCCCTGAGCAAGGATGTGATAAACAATGCAGGATGTTGAAGTGTGCAGGCGGAGGCCCTAAGCATGCAGAGGCATACTAGGACAAGGACCCTTGCTTTGCTGTGTCTTCCAGGGTGAGAGGATTACACTGCTCCGGCAGGTAGATGAGAACTGGTACGAAGGGAGGATCCCAGGGACATCCCGACAAGGCATCTTCCCCATCACCTACGTGGATGTGATCAAGCGGCCACTGGTGAAAAACCCCGTGGATTATGTGGACCTGCCTTTTTCCTCCTCCCCAAGTCGCAGTGCCACTGCGAGCCCACAGGTATCTAAGCTTCTCGTCACTGGTTTTCATACTCAGCATGTGAGTTTTCATAGTCAACAGTGCTGTTGGCAGACGACCTCTCTGGGGTGGTTTTTGAGTGCTGCAATTAAAAACCGTCTGCAGAAAAGCAGACTGTACACTGGACCTTGTCTTCGTGCATACAAATGACATTTTCCAGTGCTTGGTTGAAGAAATATTATCTCGGGGAAAAGAAGAGCTTCAGGTAATTGCTCAGGGGATAAGGTGACTAGGGAACAAGAGCCTTTATCAGTTGGTCCCTCCTGGGTAAGTTGTTGGTGTGGGTACCCCCACTGTGTCATAAATCCCATGGTCCAGCATGGTCCTCAGTCATCTTGCCCAAAGTTCGCCTGCAGAAGACAAAGGCTGAAAGAGAGGCTTCCAGGTTCTCCTCGTCAGCCGCCTAGACCAGATCCAAGGTATTTTTTGCATTCACTGGAGCCAGGTGACTGGAACAAGCAACTTAAAGCATCTCAGTCTCAGTGGGCTGAAAGGATGTAGGTTTATAAGCATAATAAGATGTTGGCTTTCCAAAACATTAATTATAAACAAACTTGTTTAGAAATATAAATTATTCCAAACGAATCCCCATTTTCTCAAAGCCAAAAAAATGTCCGAGCCTTGCGTTCAGGGTGACATGGTGGGGTGACATCCTGTGAAAGAGCCCAGCCAAACCACCATGTGAGTTGTAAGGAGGTCTGCAGAGGAACAAGAGTAGGACCCGGGGGTCCAGGGTGACCCTGAGATGCTGCCTCTTGTCTGGTCCTCTAATCGTTTCCTTCTCTCCCACCTGCTCATCACTGACCCCAGTAGAGGGTTCTTGGCAAAAAGCATTAAATGGGCTGACCCAGGGCTTCCTGCACAGTGACAGCCACATCCTGTTGTCTTATAGGACAGGGAGTGTGACTGGAGCTGGACATTCTGCTTTGTAAGGATGCAGAGAGCTCAACTACATTCTTACTTGACTGTGGCCAAGAGTGATTGTAAAACAAAACCACTACACTACCCATACTCCTCTCTGGAAGACTCTGCTGAGCTCCCAGAGAAAAATAAAACCCCAGGGAAGGGCCACGGGAGTGCTGGGCCACCTTTCCCCATGGTTCTGGGTCAGGGATCTGGTGCACAGGGGCGGGGCAGGCTGGGGTGGAGAGCATCCAGTGTGTCCCTTTGAAAATCTGATTCTGCAAAGCAAGCTGGCCTCATCCGTTGTTACTCTGACGGGACCTCTCTCCATCTCCACACCTCTTGCTGCTTCCTCCACCCCCTGCCTGTACACATCAGGCTCACGCTCACATGTGCTGACATGCACACTCACCCACATCCCAGTTTCTCCCCAGATGTAACCTAAGGATTTCCTTTTTGGACACCAGAGTGTCCTGCTCATCCTCTCCATTTCATTCCTCTTTATATACCCCTGGTGTTATTTTCCTTCTTTTTCCTTTATGCTGACACATGTACCTTTTGCTTCTTTCTTTTGTTTTCCTCTCTCTCTTCTTCTTTTTAAGTTTTCCAGTCACAGCAAGCTCATCACGCCAGCCCCCTCATCTCTGCCCCACTCCCGCCGAGCCCTGTCCCCTGAGATGCACGCCGTCACCTCTGAGTGGATCTCACTGACTGTGGGGGTCCCAGGCAGGCGTTCTCTGGCCCTGACCCCACCCTTGCCTCCTCTGCCAGAGACTTCTGTCTATAACACTGACCACCTCGCCTTGTCCCCGAGGGCCAGTCCCTCCCTGTCTCTCAGCCTCCCGCATTTGAGTTGGTCCGATCGTCCCACCCCACGATCAGTAGCTTCTCCACTGGCCCTACCTTCACTGCACAGAACCTACTCCCTAGCACCCAGTTCCCAGGCCTCCCTTCACATCAGTGGAGACGGTGGCGTCCACCAAGATAGCTTCTCGCAGCAGCCGCCGCTGGGGAGCTCTGATAGTGTCATCTCCCAGCTTAGTGATGCCTTTAGCAGCCAGAGCAACAGGCAGCCGTGGCGCGAAGAGAGCGGACGATATGAGAGGAAAGCAGAGAGGGAGGCAGGCGAGAGAGGCCCTGGTGGACCCAAGATCTCTAAGAAGAGCTGCTTGAAGCCTTCAGACGTGGTCAGGTGCCTGAGTACTGAACAGAGACTCTCAGATCTCAACACCCCTGAGGAGAGCCGGCCCGGCAAGCCCCTGGGTAGCGCTTTTCCAGGAAGTGAGGCTGAGCAGACAGAGCGGCATAGAGGTGGCGAGCAGGCGGGGAGGAAAGCTGCTCGCAGAGGTGGGAGCCAGGTAGGACTGCAGCATGCTGCGTGTGCACTTGGCGTCTCACTTGGCAGGGTGGGCTGCACGTCTCGCCCCTGGTCCATCTACGGAGGCCAAGTGAATGCTGGTGAGACCATTTGCTTGCCTCAGGAGCAAAGAGATGGCTCCAGAGGGAATGGGGGGCCGGGGAGGGGGGGACGTGAATTCAGGTGCCAGGACTGGATACAGTTGGAGGAAAAGGACAGGCTATATCTGGCCACTTGAGGTCATTGGGAAGTTATCTCTACTTTGGATGCCTCCTGGCCTGCCTCTCGTCCCATGTATGCCTTGGAGATGAGCTCAGTTTGCTTTGACTAACACAGCTGAGAACACCAGGCTTCGGTGTGGTGTGGTGTGGTTTGGTTTTATGTAAGATGCACTTTGTTTCCATAACTCATGGTGGTGCTCTGCTAGTGCTCGGTTCTGTCAGGTCTTTGTCCTGTCTTGTGTTTGTGTGGGAATGCAGGGCCTTTGTTTGCCATGAAACAAAGGCATTTTGGTTCTGGAGAAGAGAATGCAGGTCTCCTGGGGCCCTGATGATGTGGGGTATCATTGAATAGGCACCCCAGGGTTTTGGGTGAGTGTCCCATCTTATCTCTGTGTCAGCTACAAAGATTTCAGCATTTGGACAAAGGTAGCCTTGGGTGTTTTGAGGCCTGAAATTTTTTTTGGAGAAATGAACCTAGCAACTAAATAAATCACAGTTCTGATTTTGGCTACGCTGTTTACTACTGCGAAAGTCAAAAGATTTTGGGCGCTTTCTCCGAAGCAGCCAGGAAAAGTTTTTGGATGCCAGCTTCACCTCTTACTGTATAGTGACTTGGGGGCTACTTCCCCTTTCTGAGACTCAGTTTCCTCATCTGTAAAATGGAGGTGATAAGCATCTACCTCAAAGAGTGGTTGAGAAGATTCTTTGAAATAATGTGTGTGAAAGACCTAGTATAAGGGCTTATGATCCTGGGAACATGATCAGCACTTCATAAATGGAAGCTATAGAGCCACTATCTTGGGTGATCTAGAACTGCTTCTAGAACTGGGAATATTCTTAGAACCTCCTTAGACCCAAATTGAGTTCCTGAAGATGTCTCCAAGCCATTTATTAAGTATCTAGTATGTATAATATCTACAGTAAATAGTGCTTTACCCTTAGGCTTGCAACTTCAGTTTCCCTTTGAGGCTGTAGTTATTCAGTCTATCAATACGGCCTGCAGTTACCAGCCTCTGGGCAGAATACAAGGGTCATTGGTCTCTCCTCTTGGGGAGCCTAAGTTCAAGGCTCCTCAAAACAATGAGGAGCCTAGCAAACACAGCAATATCACCAGGGCAATAATAGAGACATGCTCAGAGGACCCAGGAGCACAGAGGCCTGAGACACACTAGGCCAGACCTCCAGCTCCAGCCAAGCACATGTGGGCCCGTGGGCCAACACATCAGGAGTGGGGATCACTCAGGGTGAGCCAGCAATGGGGCAGTTTATAAGAAATCAGGCTTAGCCTTTTGCTAGAAAGCCACTTAACCTCTAACATGCGAAGCAGGAGTGGAAGCAGCCGGTCCCTGGTAGGGTAGTCATAAGGATTCAGTGAGGTAATTAATGGAAGGTGTTGCTTGGCATGTGCCAAGGCTCCATATGTAAGGTCTCCTGCTGCTATGTGGGCCTGCAGGAAAGCAGCAATACCTGGCAAAGGCTTTTCCTGGCCCTGAAACAGGTTGAGGAACAAATGGAAGAGGTGGTGAAGTGGCTAATGGAAAAGTATTAAACGTCTCTGACACAGGAACAATTCTATAAACGCTCTAAGTCAACCCAGCGCTCCCAGGGACCTCCTTATCGTCAGTGGTGAGTCATCATCCCGGCCCAATTCCAGCATCCCGTGTGTACAGGAAGTGCGCACGGTGCCGGACCTCCGGGTAAGGTTAGGGGTATATGCTTCCTGCTTCCTAAGGCAGGATAGGAGTGGAGTAGCTGGCAATACTGAAGATTATGTGATTGGAAAGCCAGAGTTGTTGAAACTTGGTGTTCCTTTCTTGGTGGGTCTCCAGACCCCAAGTGTACCGGTTCCTGTCCCCTCCCTTCCTCCTGGCCTCCTGGCACAAGCCCCTTCTCTATGGGTGTGCCCAGGCTGTGGCCTGGGGCTCGCTCCCCCTTGAGAGCTGGCGTTGGTGTGAAAAGGGCCGCTGCCCACACCTCCCCTTTAGCCCCCTCACTTTCCCCTCCTGTGGCTGGAGCAGGAGTTGACAGCTCTGGAAACGGGGTCCTTCAGAAGGGGCTCCTGTGTCTTGGGCCCCCTTTGGGTGACAGACATGCTAAAAATGGAAAGGACTTGTATGACAACTGTTCTCTGGCAGCCCCATCAGGATGACGTGACCACAGTCCGTGTTGCTTATTTGGAAAAATGCATTCCAGACCAGTTTGTGTATCAAGAAAATTGTCAGCCATTATTTTCCTTGCTGAACTAAAAGTTCACTTTCATTGTAGGTATTGGGGTGGTAGGTTGAGAATTAACCAATAATGAGAGGGAATTTTACCTGAGAACCTTAAATGAAAAGATATTCTGAAATGTTATGATCATTTACTCTTTCAAGCATTTAGGATGTTCCATGCACTTTGCTGCAAGAGATAGAGAGGGGTGAACAAAATCAAGGCTTCCATTTAGATGTAACTTCTAGGAAGCTGTTGGGGCCAAGGGAAAGCTTTCCTTTTGTCCTTTGAAGTTTTCCCTAAAAAAGCAAAATTTTTTTTCTTTTCTTTTCTTTCTTTTTTTTGAGATGGGGTTTCACTCTGTCACCCAGGCTGGAGTGCAGTGGCATGATCTCACTGCAACCTCCACCCCCAGGTTCAAGAGTCCTCTCACCTCAGCCTCCATGAGTAGCTGGGACTACAGGCACATACCACCATGCCCAGGTAATTTTTGTATTGTTTGGTAGAGACAGGATTTCATCATGTTGGCCAGGCTGGTCTCAAACTCCTGACCTCAAGTGATCCGCCTACCTTGGCCTCCTGGGATTACAGGTGTGAGGCACCATGCTCGGCCAAGAAGCAAATTAATAGAAGAAAAGGCATACAGATTTATTTGATAATAGTTTTATGTGAAATGGGATCCTTCAGAATGAAGACCCAACCACCCAATGGGGTGCAGAAGCTTATGCCGTCTTGAGGCTACAGAAGAATGGGGGCTCAGAGGATGGCAAAAGACAGGTTATGGCAGTAAATCAGATTTAAGCAGCAAGACAGGTTATGGGAGGAGAAAAGTGAAGGCTTGGCTGGCAAAGGGGGTTGTGTAGATGAAAGCTCACAGGTAGCAGCCTCAGAGAGAATAGATAGTAAATGTTTCTTTTTGGCCTTTAAAGGTGTCAGACTGTCAGTTAATCTTTTCTAGATCTAGACAAAGGAAAGCCTCAGAAAAATCCTGGCTGCATTGGTGCACTGATGCAGCCAGGATTTGTATTTGTATTTTCCTCTACAAATACAAATCTCCTGCATGAAAGGCAGCTTTGCAGAGCTACCTCTTTTTGCTGGCTCTCTGACAGCCATCTCAAAATATGTCAAAGAAATATATTTTGAAGTAAAATATTCTGATTTCATTTAATGCCTTTCCTGACAGCCTCCCCTTCCCCTGCATGACTGGATTCAGTGCTCTGACTTTGTGCTGCCACAGCCCCTGCGGTGGTCTGGGTGAGCCTCTCTCTGCCCCCTTTGCTTGCCTGTGTTCCTGTAGAGTATCAGTGCTCCAAGGGTGGGACCATGATACCTGATATATGGAAGGCACTCAGTGAATATTTGCCGAATGAACAAAAAAACACAGACCAGACACGGTGGCTTACACCTGTAATCCCAGCACTTTGGGAGGCTAAGGCAGATGTGTCACTTGAGGTCAGGAGTCTGAGGCCAGCCTGGCCAGCATGGCAAAACTCCACCTATTCAAAAAATACAAAAATCAGCTGGGTGTGGTAGTGCACACCTGTAATCCTAGCTACTTGGGAGGCTGAAGTGGGAGAATCACTTAAACCCAGGAAGTGGAGGTTGCAGTGAGCAGAGATAGGACCACTGCACTCCAGCCTGGGTGATAGAGCAAGACCCCGTCTCAAAAAAAGAAAAGACAAATAATGACTGACCCCAACTAAAGGATTTTAGGACCTCCACTGGGGAGTAAGACCTGTTCACAAAAAATTATAATGCAAATAAGGAAAGACAGTCACAAACATACACTCTGGAAGTTCAAGATGGGGAGAAATAATAAGCAACTGGGGAGGAGGATGGTTACCTGGAGACTTCAGGAAAAAATTGCTGCGCAGGGTGTCAGAGCCCCAGCATCGGGAGGTGGTTGACTTGAGTGCTGGTAAGAAGAACTGACTGATAACAATATAGGTTTGAAGAAGGAAAGTTTATTAGAAAGAAAGAACACTGAAAAAGGATGCAGCGCGGCAGTCAGTGAGAAAGGACCAAGCACACTGTGGTGGATTTTCTTTGGGGGCCTTTAGGCGAGAGCTTAAGGGTCATTTGGACCATACTAGCCACATAGTTCATGATAAATGATTACATCTGTAGATGTTTTGGTGCCTTAATGTCAGCAAGGGTTGCCCAGTGAGTTTTGGCATGGCATTCCAGAGATGTGTAGAAATTCTAGTTACTTATAATATTGGGGGGAAAGAAATCTGGAGCCAGATGCCTGCTTTAAATGATAGGGAAGCCTAATTACTTCTAATTTTCCCAGATAAGGAATTTAGCCTGTTTGATGGTCACCAGGTGGTTTTTGCTCCCTTCTAAACTTCTCAGATAAAGAATTTTTGCCTGCTAGATGGTGACTTTGCTCTCCTCAAAAAAGTAGCATTTAATCTGAGCCTTAAAGAATAAGATTTTCCCACAGGGGTACAGCAGGAGGGTCAAGGCAGATAGCCCAAGCAAAGGCCCAGAGGTAGGACCATGAAAGGTGTACATGGAGAATGAAGCATTCCTGTTTGTTAAAACGTGGGCTCTGAATGAAGCCCCTCCC